TTGCTAACATGTGAGCTCTGTGAGTTTAGAGATAACACAATGATATGGGGACTATAGTCAAGGCATATGCAAATCATTATGAGAACACGGAGGAAGCAAAGCCTAACAAACTTACTAAAACCATTGAAGAACCTCAACATTCAGAGTGTCGCAAAGAAAATTAGGAGGCAGTTTAGATATGACCAAAAAGTTAACAGGTTAAAAAATGTAAATAAATTTAAAAAGTTTGCATTTTTTCATTCCAAAATATTTTATTACCATGGGCTCAGCCCAGGGAAATCAATAGGAGAATTTAAAAGAAAAAAAAAAAGGTAAAATCCTGTCTTGCTTTCAAGATTATTATAATCTCACTAGAGGCCCGATGCACGAAATTTGTGCAAGAGTAGGCCTTCCTTCCCCCAGCTGCCAGAACCGGCTTCCCTCTGGCACCTGGGACCCGGGCTCCCCTCGCAGCCCCAGCTTTATCTGGAAGGACATCTGGAAGGATGTCCAGTCTAATTAGCATATTATGCTTTTATTATTATAGATGTTGTAGGTAAAACTACCAAGCAAAAATCAATTAGTAAATAACCATAGCAATTCAGTACCAACCTCTGTAGACAGACTTATAAAAGTTCTGTTAAGAGAGAGACAAATAATCATAGGAATAGACACAAGCCATGTTTTCTTAAATACTTTATTGACAAATTTGATGCAATCATTGAAGGTGGGATTTCATGTCAGGAGTCAAAAAGATTTCTGAATATTGGGCATAATGACTGACAAAAATTAACAAGATGAAACACTCTCTATGTAAGTGAAGAAAATGAACCACAAAAGGAGAGAACAACAGAGTTGTGACTTCATTTTTAAGGCATGCTTTCTGTATCTTCATCTAAGTCACTTACAAAAGTACTGACTGGGATAGTATTCTGTTCCTCCCGGTCATGTTAATTCATCCATCAGCAGCTTTTTGTTCATCTCTTCAACCAGTTACAGTCATCTACTCATCATTTTGATCCTTTCACAATTACAGAATGAGAAACCTTATCTAATGCCTCCCTGATGTTTCAATCCATTACGTCTACTATATACCTCAGACCTACCAGTTTAGTGACCTTGTCAAAGAAGAAAACAAAGTTACTCTGACCTTTTTAAAATTTTTGACACTTAAGGATATGGCATCCTATATAATAAAAGGCTAATATGCAAACTGACCAAATGGTGGAACAACCGGTTGCTATGATGCGCACTTACCACCAGGGAGCAGACGCTCAATGCATGAACTTCCCCCTGGTGGTCAGTGCGCTCCCACAGAGGGAGCACCGCTCAGCCAGAGGCTGGGCTCATGGCTGGCGAGTACAGTGACAGTGGTGGGAGCTTCTCCTCCTTCATGGCAGTGCTAAGGATGTCCAACCACCAGCTTAGGACATCAGTCAGTTGAACATCCCCCAAGGGCTCCTGGACTGTGAGAGGATGCCAGCTGGGCTGAGGGACCACCCCCCCACCCCCCCCAGTGCACACATTTTCTGCACCGGGCCTCTAGTGTTTTCATAATTGTTACTAAATCTATACTATAATGTTCTTTTCTGGGATCTTATTCAGATTAATGCTAAGCTTTGATATAAGATATTTGAGGAGGCTTAATATAAAATCAGATATACAAAATTTAGCCTTAAAAATGAATTTTAAAAAAAGAAAATTAGGAAGAGAGAACTCTTTAAATGAAACACAAATGTTCTTAATACTATATTAGAGCATCAGTTAACTTTCAAAAGTTTTATGTAGCAAACTATATATTATGGCTTAGTTTGATTTTCACATTGTAGCTAAATTTAAAATTCTTGATTTTAGTCTATTGTATGGCTAGTAATGTTAACAAAATTTAAAAAGCCACTTCATAATTTAATGCTAAGCAATGACTTCCTTGATTAAGGTGGTGCCTGTTCTTTTTTAAAAACACACCTCTCTATCTCATGACCTGTACTAAATAGTGGCAGGGCTCAAGGGCTTAGAGATAAGGACATCAGTGTCTGAGAAGTGACATTTCAAAATAACACATCATGCTACATATGAACAATATTAGGGGATAGTTATATGAATGAACAAAATGTTAAAACATATAAACAGGTATGTGTATGCCCCTGGGCCCAGACCTAAGCTTTCTAAAAGCAATAAAGCTGCACCTCAGGCAAAATGATATTGTAGAACCAGCAGCAAAAATTATAGAATTAAAAGCATCCTCAACTGTGCCAAAAAAAATCTCTTGTATCACAAAAATTATAGAATCAGAATTTTTAAAATGTAGATGATTTTGTGTATTTGGCCCCAAATAGTATTTGTGAGTAAATGTATTGGGTTTATATGATACTTGGAAAATATAATATCACGGTGTTTTTGTCTTTAATTACATAAATGAAAATGTGCATAGCTAATTTTTGGAAATTAACTACATGTCTGCTGAGACTGCATTCTACTGTCTGTAAGATGGCTTGACTTCACTGCTTTCTCCTACACCCCCTTTTCTTTTCATTTTTTTCTTTTTTTTTCATGATTTAATTCATTGAAACTTACCTTTAAATGTTATGATTATTAAATCTTTTTCTATTTTCCTTTCAGAGTGCTACAGAAAACAAAATTCAAACTGCTCTCATCTACTTACTCTGCAGCCAAAAGACTAGAATTATACACAACTTTAATAGAGGTCAATATTGCCTGTAACTTCTCAGTAACCTCCTATGATTTCAGCTTCTTATTTAAGGAGTGATTCCCACAGAAGGTTTCTTAGCCATTTCCTTATGTTTTATAAAAAGAAAAGAAAAAACCTATCTTTCACGTGGGCTCAGAAATCTAATAAAAACTACTGTTCAAAGTACCAATCTTCTTAAAATATATATCCTTGTGATATAATATTCTCTCCCCAATACCCGCCCAGACTCAATACTTGTTTCATCTTCCATTTTCCCAAGCTTTGTTATGAAGGGGAGGGTAAGTGTCTAAAAAATAAAAACGAAAAAAGAATTGAAACCATTCAGAAATAGAAATAGATGAGAATCATTCTATCAAAAACACCTGTTGAAGAAAAGCTCTTGGAAAATGGGGGGGTAGGGAGGGATAGCATGGAAGATGAAGAGAGAGAGTAACATTTAGGCCAACAGTGATTCTGAGAGTTTAGAACAAAGGATGAGAAGCAACTACAATAAATGATAGGAGGAGAAGAAACTGCCATTCTGATGGAGTGCCATGGCTCCTACTCTTACATTTTTGTTTATTATTTGTTTTATTATTATTTGAATTTGTTGCCATTTTGGGACATGGGACTATGCTTAGACTGGCCCCAAATATTCTGATCAGAAAGGGGAAGGAAAGGGAGAACACAAGAGGGAGGAGGAGGCATTGGGAGGAGGATAGGGGAGAAGGAGGAAAGCAGCAGTACCTAAAACCAAGTCTATGGAATATGTCAAATTTCTGAGCCCGGCCCTTTATCTTATCTCATTCAACAAGGCCAAAATAATTAAAGATCATGTCAAGTAGACAAAGGTGTTATGTGAAAATTCCATAGCTTTTCTTAAGCGATTTCCCAATTACTGTTTTCTAAATATTCCCAGATTACTACTCCCATAAAGTGTTTATGAAAAATTTCAAAACATCTTGTTTTTTAGGTTGTTCATTGGTGTCTTTGAAATTTTTAGTGTCTAACATCTGTCCTATAATTTTATGTAGGACTTTAAGGTTACCTATAAGTGAGTGTATGTCATCACACTACCTTAGAATGAAAATACTTAATAGTTGCCAAGCACAATAGTTCCTTCTCTCTTATTCCTTTCCACTCTTTCTTGACTGTACTCCTTTTTCCTCTTCCCTTTAAGTTCAGGTCTCTTAAAACTGTCAGAGAAGCAACTTCTTCCTATTTTTATCATAATCATGCTTCATTTTTTATTAAACAGTAATATCTTTTGATTGTAAAAGAAAATAAATTCCCCCTTCTCAAAGACAGAAATTTCATTCTAAATTTTGAGATAAGTAAAATTAAATATTTAAAAAATATGTACTTTCCAGAAAGAAAACAAATGTCCTGAAGAAAAGGAAATATCTATACTATGTATATATTTTCTCAAAGTGACTAATTTTAAAGGAAAATATAGATGTATGGATGTATTTAAATCTATAATTTCTGAGTTATTTGTACAACATTGCAATAATCACTTGAATTTAAATTGGGCACATTTTGCATATTCTTCCCATATTTTAAATTATTATACTTTTTCTTCATGATATTTTTAAGTAGTTGATTATGATTTGAGACAGATCTTGTCATTATCACTATAACCATTCTTTATTTATTTTTTGTCCCCCCCCCCCCCAAGAAATCTATGGCATCCATCTTTTGCTCTGTCCGCAATTAAATTGGCCATGATAGTTAATGGAATTAATCTAACTGGTAGAAAAGCATATGTTCAAGGAGTTAAAACATAAAGAGTTTTATTATAACCACTTCTTTACTTTTCAGGAAAAGGGGAAATATTAAATATTCCTCAATTCAGTAACTTTTACAAATTAGTAATTTACTTTTTACAAATTAGAAAAAATAGACATTTCCTCCTTTGTTCATTTTGACTTAAAAATGGAAAATCACTGCCATTTGACTACAATCATATTTTTAAAAATTAACAGGCTGATTTCTGCTCAGAAAATGCTTTTACTGATGTGGTTCTGGTGGCAATGTAGAATACCTATCTTCTTTAGGTACATCTTGGGTGATGTGGACTTTAAAAATCTTAGTTACACCCAAGATTCCATTCCTCTGTGGTTACTCACCTGGACCACAGACATGTAGGGCCTGTCTAAAAGAGACATAACATCAAGTGTGGCCCCACCAGTGACTCATCCCTTTAATATAGTGAAACTATAGAGGGAAGAACAGGGAGGATGTATTGGTTGCTAGGGAAATCTAGCTTACCTGTGGAAAATGACATCCTGTATTAATAAGATCTAAGGTACGACTCACATAATTATCCTAATTTTAAGATTGATGGAAATGATGAAGCATTTCTTTACATCGGGGACAGGTCATAAAAAATGTCTAAATGTACAGGACTGCATATGGTTTTAGAATGTGACTTTATAAAGAAGGTGGAGATCCCAACTCCCTTTCATGTCTCTATATATATGTCCAAGTGTGTGTGTTTTAGTGCTCTGGGAAGTGTCTTGACAGAGAACCTGAGTAGGACAAAGCAGCCTGGATCTGAGTGAGCTAACTGGCACCATGAAAATATCAGGTGTCTTTCTGCTCCTCTCTCTGGCTCTTTTCTGCTTTTTCTCAGGTGAGTTTTTTCTTTAAAATTAAAATCCAATAGTTACGCTGAACTGGACATAACAAGTATATTTACCCACCATATTTCAAAATTCTAACAATTTTGATATGAAAGACCAATTCTGAGAGATTATCATAATGATGATAATGATTATAATGGTTATAATGATGAAAATGTTAATAGTAATAATTATAAAAATAACTTTCATTTGTTGAGCATATACTATATTCGAGGCATGTACTAAGAGCTTTTATGCATTATCTCCAATACACATAGTAAGCTATTCCTATCTATATTCTACATACAAGAAAACTGTGGCACAAAACGTAAGAAAATTGGCAAAGGACTTACAACTCGTAAGTAGAATTTGGAATTTGATCAGATGTTCTAGACATCACAGTTTATGCTTGTTCCACAAAACTAGTCTGGGGGAAGGCTAGTTGTCTTATATATTTACTTAAATACTTGAGTATTTTCTTCTAAGAAGAAAGCTTCCCTGTACTCATTATTCTTATACAGTCATTGGAACTCAATTAAAATTAAAACAAGGGGAAAAAGGAAACTCAATTAGAAAATCCTTCAGAAAAAGGTATCCAGTCTTAGAATACTGAAGCATATGTGTTGTTGGGGAACTAAACAATTGTTCAAGAAGGGGAATATCTTTGGGCACCATAATGAGCAATAGTCAAATATTCTATCAATTTGGATTGTTCAAAGGACAACTGTACTTTGATCCAATGTTTTTCAGTACAGGGCCATGCGAATGAACAGGACACTGTATCTCTTTCCTTCCTTCTTTATTTTTCCACCCAATGATGTTATAGTAGACAAAGAACACACTAGAGTCTCTAGACTCAAGACCTAGACCCATGTCTTCCATTTATGACTGTGTCAACTGGAGACAGCTCAGCTCTCTGAGATCTTCTCTCATTTATAGAGTTCTAGAAATAAGACTGGATCTTGGAAATTTACATGTGTGACCTATCACTTGCTGTGACAAAAGTCATTGAATTTGGGGGCTATCAGAGATATTTCCCTGAGATTGAATAGGTAAAGAAGTCATTTTTCACTGGAAACTGGTTATATTTAGAAATATGAAAAAAATTACTGTGATCTTATAGAATAAGTTTGACTAATAAGGCTAAATAACCTGAAATGATGTTTCTGTCACCTGCTAAGATGACATAAAATAGATGAGACTGTATAAAAATTTTCTGGCTAAGATGCTCTCAGAAATTAATTGATATCCTCATTGCTTCTCTTTATGATCTTTTCATTGGATCTTATGTACCAGGACACTCAATTTACCAAAACATGGTCCTTCATAGATAAATCTGTATTTGGGAAGGCCAATGCCTAAGTGCCTTAAGGTTGAGTTTCAGTCCTAGCATTTCCATTTTATAGTGTGTGACCTTTCTGAGTAGTTTCTTCATCTGTAAAATACAGCTATAAAAAGAATATTCCTGTGTGTGGAATTAAATGAGAAAAATGCATGTAACGTGCTTTACATAGTGGATGGGATCTAGTAAGAGTTTAACAAATGTCTATTAATATTAACATTATTAAACTTCAATAATATGACCACTGTATTGAACTCAGGTGTTGCTGATGTTAATCATCCTTCTGCCCTGGTAGTTCTACATATAAGATGGTGGACAAAATCTCTCCTCTTCTGATCAAAGATTTGTACAGTGAAGAAATGGCTGAGAATTGTAATAATGACTTTTCCTGGGTCATAAAACTCACTTTTAGTGCTTACAAAAATTTAAACTTCCAGGCCCTATTTGGTCTTATATAATGAAATTTTCAAGTGATTGTCCTAAAAATCTGTATTTTTAATAATACTGCTGCAATATGGTTGGTACTCACTACAGTAGATTGCCATCAAGTTTATTTCAAAATTAAAAGCCCTGTTCTCACCTCATCTCCATTAATAGAGAATGTACTTGAAGGTATTTCCAGTTGTCCTCCTTTAAGTATGACACTTACTCATACTTTCTGTCGTCAAGGAGGCTTTTGGCTAAACATGCCAGGTGTCACTGGCATTAGGAGTTCCCCAGAAATGACCAGAATTCAGCTCAGAGCAGAATTGAACCAAACATTTTTTATTATTTCAGCATTTAAAACCATTGAGCTAATTAGCCACAACCCAAAATCACAGACATAGCTACAAAGATGGAGGGGGAGAGAGAGAGAATCAAGACTGTATTTATAGATTGTTTCCTCTTTCAGGAATTTAGAGAGATGTAGCAAAATAAATGAGTTTGTCCTTGCCAGTCTATATTTTGGCTAAGTCTTTAAAGCTGAGTATAGAGAACAGAAAAGCAATTTTGACCTCAAAGAACAAATAAAGTTAATCTCTTCCTGAACTGCCTATAACAAAGGCAGTGCAATGAACCTGGAAATGTCAAAGTTAGAGGAGACTTTCCAACCCAAATTCACCAAAGATCAGAGATGAGGTCATTTCCACAGTGGATTAGTAACTGGGCCAGAACTCTAACATGAATGTCCAGATTCTGAAACGATTTTCTGTCACCTCCCCTCCCAACCTCTAAGATATATGATCTTAACCTTGTCCATCCCCTTTCATCACTTCCCAAGTGTCTACTGCTCCCTGAGAAGTGAACAGATATTGGAAAATCAAACAGTCATGCCATGACTTGTTGAGATGACCAAGAACCAAGAATAAGTATCATTCCAGCCTTGAGGGTTTCCCAATTTTGCAAATCCCACGTTTTCCACATTCAGAAATTACAGTGTTCAGACTTTGTGCTTTTTTTTTTCAGGTGTCTTCAGTCAAGGAGAAAAGGTCAGTGCATATTTTTATCTATTCTTCAGACCTGGGTGGTGCTTGGTTGGTATTCCCAGCCCAAAGAGAGGCTTGTCTGTGGGCAAAAGGGCAAAAACAATGAACCAGCAGGCCAAATGCAGAAATCAGTGGGAGAAATAAAATTTTAACTACAGTTTCTCTATGAGTTAAAAGACCTTAAATACCCATTCTCAGGTTTTGTTAAAGTAAAGCAAGTATAAATGAAAACGGGATGAATCTATCACTGCTTTCACTGTGAGATCTTGGGCAAGTAACTCAGGTTTTCTGAGCTGCAATTTCCACTACTATAAAAAAAAAATAAAAGGATAATCGTATTCACCTCACAGAACTGTAGTCAGATTGAAATTATATAAACTATGTGGAAGTATTTGGTAAACTATAAAAAGATTAGTTGTTGATTAATAATTAACAGCTTCTGAAGGATTTAGATCAGAGGTTATTCTTCCCTTTATAGAAATAAGGCCACCAAGAGTAAAAAAAAAATATTGCTTATTACAAAGGTGGTTACTGCTCTATATTGCGTACACATGACTGTTTCACTTAAATGTAAGTACAATTTGGGTTAAAAGTTGGAATGGGGACAAATTATCTTCATTGTCTGGCTGCTGTTTTTTCCAAATCAATCCATCAAATTTCCTCAGATTGCTTGTTCTAAGCATCAAAAACCACAGACAGGTGGTATTTGCTCAGCTAGTCCTACTCCTGTGTCCATACAGAAAGAACATTTCTACTTGACCTTGGCAGTTGTTTTTGTTAGCCTTTGTGTGCCCAGGAACCCTTGACATCAAAAGTTTCCAGATACTACTGCCAACTGGTTCAAGTTGGCAAAAGAGCTGAAAACCTCTTCCAACTCTAGTATATTACATCAGACTTTTTCCTTCCAATTTTAAACTCTCATAAATTGAAATGCATCTTTCAGTGGATGATGCCCTACAGTTAACTCTCAATGTATGTGCACATGCACTTGTGTGTGTGACACATACATACACATGTGTTTGTACTTGTATATAAAATTGTATATCTTAAAATTGATTTCTTATTATGTTTAAACCCATATGGTAGCATAATCCATGTTAAATATTAAAACAAAAAAACAATGAAAGGACCTGGGATCCAGCCAACCCATTTTGTATCTCACTAGGTAGTAAAATATAAAACCATTACCCACAGATTGAAAATATATGAAATTTAATATGAAATTCTCATTGATACTCAAGTCTCTTCCCTTATTTAGGTTTTGATCTCAAAGATATTTAATGTTTCCCAGATTTTCAGTGTTTTCTAAAGTTCACTTAAAATTTACTGATTCTATTCCTTTCAATAGGCCTAAGTCTAATAGTGGACTTGCTTTTGGATCACTGGAAATGTTTTCTAATATACAGATCCCCAACACCATGCCAGACTTACTAAATAACAATCACACATGGGGAAATTTTCAGTCTGCATTCTACATAATTATCCAGTGCTGGGGAGCGCTGTCTTTGCTCAAACATCTTAGAGACAATATACATGAGTTCTAATTCAAATATTTACTGCCTGTGTGATCTAAGAGATGTCTCCTCCCTTGTCAGTGCCTTTGTTTCCACATCTCTAAAATAAAAATTTTGATTCAATGATCTCTAAAGCCCCATCTGACCTTAGCTATCTGAATCAGTATGAACCAAGCCTGCCTTGCCAAGACCACTGTCTTTTTTCCACTCAAGTAGACAGGGGAGGGAGGGTGCCACCTTTCAGATGGCATCAAGGCTACCATTTCTCTTCTGTATGGCTGGAAGGATGGTGGCGGTCCAAACGACAGGCAGAAAAAGTTGAAACTAACCTTAGGAGCATGCCTGCCTAATTCTGATTCTGCTAAGACAAAAGGAAGAAAGATTTCCTCCAATACTTAACTCAGTCTACTCATTCCAAGAAGCCTCTCCATGCTGAAGCATCTGATGGTAGATTATAGTTAATAATCTAAATTATAGACTTGTAAAAGGAGACTTTTAGAATAATTCACTATATATAAATATTAATTATGAATTAAATTATTATCTAAAGTTGGTCCTGTACGTTTCTAATAATAGGAATTAGAGTTTGAAATTTTGATGAAGATTCAAGAAAAAACAATGCCTAAGAGTCGTCAGTATCATCTGGAAATACATATGCTCTTAGAGAGGGAAAACCAAGTATATAAAATTTTCTTGAAAATGAACATAGTGAATAGTCAGGAAGAAAATAAAAAATGATAAAAGGAAGAGAGAAGAAATAGTTAGAGAGTCAGAGTATTGACATATTACAGAAGTCAGGGGTTTCAAAAAGGAGTAACATATCGTAAAAAATGATGAGCATTTTATAAATAGCTAATGGGTGTATTCTGAATCATTTTGTAGAGCCATTTGGGTAGTGTGGAATGGGTATAAAAGCAGGGGAAGTAGCGCACAAGCCATGGAGGGGTTTAGAAAACTGGTGTGATTAAAAAGGATCTGAAGTAACTACCTGGGTAGTAGTAAAGGAAAGAACAGATGAAGTCCTACACCCTAGAGGTGTTTGCAAATTTTCATTAACTTTATTTTTAGAACTGAAATACTAGACTAAAACATCAATGACCCTGACTTCTAAGTTAATTTCTGTGATCATATAAGCTCATTTTCCAGTGAAGTTAAATGCTTTTGTAGTTTCCATTATATGACTAATCTGGGTACTAAAAGTGTCCCTGTATTCCAGAATATTTTTGAAGGTACAATTCTTTGAAGAGCCACAAGGGGTCAGGCCGATACTAAACTTTGGTACCCAAGTCCCTAGATGTAGTCTCAGGAAGCTGGACTAAGAAAAGAAGTGGAGGCTCTTGTTAAAGCCAACACCAACCTAAAAAAACACCAAAACAGAACAAAGTTCCTCATTAAGTAGAGTAAGAAATAATGGGCTCCAAAAATTCTAGAATATGAAAGTGTACATTGTTAGTGCCCATAATATCAATCCTCCACATGATACTTGAACCTTTACAAACTGTTTTCAAAGGACTATTCATTGACAAGAACCCTAGAAGACAGGTATTGCTGGCCTCCAGTTAAATATAAAGAAATTTCAACTCAGAGTAGTCAACAATTTGCATGAGGTAATGCAGGTAGTAAGAGGAAGAAGCAAAATTCAAACCCAGGTCAGTTTAATACCGTCTACAGTACAGCCCCCCCTAACATTATAGAGCATTGGGCATTTTAAATAAATTCAGAGGATTTTGGCTGTCCTGGGTCTCTTGGAGGAAACTTTAAGGAGAAAAGATAATCCTACCACCCTTGGTCTAGGCCTGCTTTTTTATGTCCACTAAGAAACTAATTGTCTGCGTTCTATTTAAAGGAGACCAAAATAAAAATATAAAAGAGGACAGGAAATTTAGACAGAGGAAAGGCATGCCATTCTTAGACTGCTTCTCCTTAAGTTGAGAACTGTAGGCTCTTTCTAGTCCTACTAGATATTCTGATGTTCTCCTGTCTAGCTGTTTGTCTCACAGAAAGGATTTCTGATTGGCTCTGCAAAGTCATCCTTTATCTTTCCCAATGTCCAGAGCTCTCCGAGAGTGGCCCTTTTCTGTCCCCATCGCCATGCTAAAATTTCTCACACAGTGTGAGTGAAGAAAGGCCTCTAGATACAACAGAATCATTCAGGCAGTAGTTGTTATTTCTCACACCCAATTGAAGAATTAAGGACTTAGCTTAATTTAAGCCACTTTACTGAATGAATCACTGCTAAATCTTATATTATCAAAGCTGGAAAGGTCCTTAGAGACCATCTAAGCTACTGCTACTGAACACTCATTTGAAGCTCCTTCCAAAATGTGGTAAGAGCAGGTCTACAATATGAACCTTATTTTCTGCATGCCTAGTCCAAGACTATTTCAAATACTCCATGCTGGCTTTCTACAACTCTAATACGACCACATTTGATCCTTATAACAACCATGGGAATGAAGCTTGACAACTGTTAATGAAAAAAAAAACATTTTGGTTAAGAAAATTGAGATGCAGATAGTGAGCGCTTTGTCTGAGATGACACAACCAGACAATGGCGAATGACAGGACACGTTCTGAAACATGGTTCTCCAGCTACACCAGGGACCCTTGAAGGACAGGACAATTTAGAAGCATGAAGTATATCTACATTGTAAGGAAGTTTGTTCATATACCACTTGATTGACTTGGTTTTATTTATGGAAATTCTTAGCCCTACCTAGTCTCATTACAGGGGGCTATGGGGGGAAAGTGGGTCTGGGCACAGAAGTGGGGTCTAGAAGCTCTCAAAGTAAATGTCCTCCAAGTGCCACTTTCGTATCTGCTTTCTAAAGGACAAAAGAGCCTGGATCACAAGATCAGAGGGTCGAATGCCAGGGAAAGGTGGCTTGAGAAGGCGTCTCTTTAAAGTAAGAGACTTTTGTTTCTTTTCTCGCTGATCTGACTGTAGAGACACCCATATCTCTGACTGAGATGCCCTTTCTCGGCCTGCACATTGTCCCTGTTTGGCCCACTGGGGTGTCTCTCACTCATTGTGCTGTAATTATCTGTGTTCTTTTCTGCTCTCCTAATTCAAATAAGATGGCGAACGTATGGAGATATTATAACTGACTCCTTTTTGTATTGCCAGCACCCAGAACCATGCCTTACAAGTATTAGTTACCCATTGGCTGTTGGTGGAATAAATGAAAATATCAGTGATAAGTCTATGGTTTCCAGTCTGTTCTTGACTCACACAATTGCAAATGTGTATGTTCATGACTTAAATACAAAATAAATTAGCTTTTGAGAGAAAAAAAAATCCTATGGTTAATCATGCCCTGAAGATTTCGCAGCTTACTTTTTATTTGGGGCCCTAAAGGAAAGGTGACTATCCCCAAAGTAGTATGAAAGGATGGCGTTATCTTTAAGAGCAGTAAGAAAAAAGTGGGGCTATAGGTAGGACTATAAAAGCCTAGACATCTTCTATCCAACCAAGCCTAAGATCTCTGATAAGCACCATCCCACCCAGCCTCAATAGTACGAAATGTGAAATTTCATAAAAAATGTGTGCTTAATAGTCTCAGTTGCCTTAAATCTGATATAGGTGATATTTTGTAACTCAGCTGTGTGACTCTTGCTGAGCTTTTCCCCCGTACAAACCTTCAGAGAGTGTTATCAGTATACTAGGGCCGGTGCACAGATTGCATTGGTGGGGTCCCTCCACCTGGCCTGTGGGGATCGGGTTGAAACTGGCTCTCTAACATCCCCTGAGGGGTCCAGATTGCAAGAGGGCTGTTCTCAGATGATGCACCCCGGAATTAGGCTCCCTCCTCTCTGGTTCCGGGTGTGTCACCCAAGAACCACAGCTACCAAGTCACCACAGTTGCCAAGTCACTGCAGCTCAGCAGCTCCTGCATTGAGCATCTGCCCCCTCGTGGTCAGTGCACATCATAGCTACTGGCCAGGCAGCTGGTCGGCCAGTCAGCCGATCACTTAGGCTTTTATACATAGAGATAATGGTTTGCTAATATCTTAAAGATATGATTCCTCTTATTTGTGCCCACACACTTTTTAAATAAGGTATTTCAATACAGCTTACTTTCCCTGACTGTAACCGGGGTGAAGAGTACATCATGAACTTGGTCTTTATTTCTCTAAATGGAATATGTTGGAAATCAGCCATAATAGATAGCTGGAATCAGCAATGCGAAGGAATATGTTCAGGCACTGGTTTTTAATGCTTCCTGGTTGTGTGGCATTGGGAAGCTACTAACTTATCCTGAGGATCAATTTCCACATCTGTAAACTGCTTAATATAATTTGTTCCACATGCATCTCAGAGTTATCTCAGCTGAGTTAATCCGTATGGTTTAAATATTGTGAAGCAATAGATAAACGTAAGACATTATTAATGAAACTAGGAGAGGGGTAACGTATGGTCCCTTTATTCATGTTAAAGGGCACTCCATTCCACACAGTTGATATTTGGAAAAGTTTGGTTCTACCTGTTGTGTATTGTCTGTACCTTGGAATAAAATGGCTCAAATGTTATTTGCATACCAAATATTGATTCAATTGACATTGAATTGAAAAGAATTTTAAAACTCCAGGCTATTTTTGAGAGACCACTGTAACTGAGGGCATATATTAGTAGCATAGGGGCTACTACCATTCCTTCTACAGAGCCTATGACAATAATCATTAATTATCATAGCATGTGTTCTCACCAAGGCTGAATGCAACCTCAGAATCCTAAATAGAGCAACTTAGTCACAAAAGTTCAAATACTACAGAGTTTGAGACGGAGTAAGTTAATATAAAGACATTAAAATGTTGTTTTCAAGAGAATAAATGGATGTAGTAACCACAAGGAAAACTAACAAGCCATCACATAACATTTGGAAGCTCTTTGCAATGATCATCCATATCTTTATAACAAAACAGGAGTGCTATTAGAATTAGGTTAATACAGTAAAAAAAAAAAAACTGTCACCTAAAGACCAAAAACTACTCTCAACTGGAAAATTTAGTGTTCAAACAAAGTCATACCTATGGCATTTGCCTTACTTCTTACATTTGTAAGGAGTAAGTAACTGCCTTACATCATTAACTCAAGCAACTCACTTCTGAATACTGTGACTACAGAAATGGTTATCCTGTGTCTCAAAGAAAAAGTCTCAGTTATGTTTAACACATTCTAGATAAACAGACAAAGTAGGTCATTTTCTATTTCAGGAAACTTTACATCACAAATATATGTGTATATATATATATATAATTTTATAAAAACATATTTATATACATATACTTTCATATAAATATATAAAGTATTTATATATTAATATGACTATATAAATGAATATTTATATATTTGTATATAACATATAAATATTTATATACATATATGGGGTATGTGTATACAAAAAAGTATACACACTTTGAATAATTATAAAGGCAATGTTTATTAAAATGCATTTCAAAATTGTGCTATTAGCTGTTAAAGTATGTATACATTTTTCAGGGTATATATATATATATATATATATATATATATATATATATAATTTTATGTTTTCTGCCTAAAGCTTCTATTGTGTGGAACAGTTCCTTAGACAGAATGCACTAATGTCCATGTCACTGTGCTTACTTTGATAGGTTGACTGTGCTGAGTTTGGGGATCCCAAGGTCTACTGCACTCGGGAATCTAATCCCCACTGTGGCTCTGATGGCCAGACATATGGCAATAAATGTTCCTTCTGTAAGGCGGTGGCGTAAGTATCATACTCAGAAACCTGTCCCTTGCAAGTGCAAATTTCCAGAATAAGACAATCACACTTTCCTTGAAATAGTCCAGAAATTTCTGTTCATACCCACCCATAGAGCTAACAGAAATAAGCTTCAGGCAAATGGATTGAAAAAAAATTTGTTCAAAAACTAATAACAATTTGCATAATAAATTATTTGAAAGCATAATCTTCATTGTAATTATTAAATGTGATTAATCTTAGGGACTTTTAAAAATTATACATCTTTAAGTATTTTGATACATTTTATTTTTTCCCATTTATTTCTAAATAAGATTTTTAATAATTGTATCCAATTATGTTTTGTTATTATTAATTTCAGAAACAATAAATTTTAGCAATATAGTTACGTTTGAAAATTCATCAAAATCAGAAACATAAAAAACTTGTGGGAAAATTTATTATTAACAATAAAAGTTGCCGAAACCGGTTTGGCTCAGTGGATAGAGCGTCGGCCTGCGGACTGAGGGGTCCCAGGTTCGATTCCGGTGAAGGGCATGTACCTGGGTTGCGGGCATGTCCCCGGTGGGGGATGTGCAGGGGGCAGCTGATCGATGTTTCTCTCTCATCGATGTTTCTAACTCTCTATCTCTCTCCCTTCCTCTCTGTAAAAAATCAATAAAATATATTTAAAAAAAAAAAACAATAAAAGTTATTACTTTATCCACATTATTTTCAAGCATTTTATTTTATACCAATTTCTATGTTGCTCAGGCAACAATTTCCATTCATTCCTCTCTTTTCCTCTGATGAAAAAGGCCTTTCCACAAAGAATAGAGGAAAGGATCATTCTTACTATCCAGACTATTCAAACTTTACAGATAGTATACTAGGAAGATTCTATCAAGGACCAATATTTATTGAATTTATGTGTTTAAAGGAACAGAACAGGTACTATAGATTTTAGCAAATAGATTGTGAACTTCCTGATGAGACATATTTTATAATTAATAAAAGCTTATTCAATCAATCAATCTCTTAGTCTGATTGCTCTAAAATCAAAGGAATTATAGCCCTCTTTAAAAGTAACCTCACTTCTTTACCACTGTCATTCTTTTCTTGTATTAGAGTTTCTTCTATGAATGTCTTAATTTTCCTCAACTTTGCTGTAAGATTCCTAAGCATGGAGATTATATAGCTCCTTATCAATAACTGCAAGGCCAAGCACATAGAATTAAATGAATAAATATTGAATGCATAATAGATATTTCTATATTTGTGTATAACTCTAGAGGCCTGGTGCATGGATTTGTGCACCGGTGGGATTCCCCGGCCTGTCCTGTGGGGATCGGGACAAAACCAGCTCTTCAACATCCCCCAAGGAGTCCCAGATTGTGAGACGGTGCAAGCCAGGCCGAAGGACCCCACCGGTGCACGATTGGGCCGGGGAGGGACCACAGGAGGGCTCCAGGGCGTGTCCTGCTTATCTTGCCCAGTCCCAATCAGTTGGATCCCGGCAGCAAGCTAACCTATCAGTTGGAGCTTCTGTACCCTGGTGGTAGTACATGTTATAGCGACTGGTCAAATGAACGGTCGAACAAATGGTAGGACACTTAGCATATTAGGCTTTTATTATATAGGACTAGAGGCCCAATGCACGAAATTCGTGCAAGAGTAGACCTTCCTTCCCCCAGGTGCTGGCACCGGCTTCCCTCTGGCACCCGGGACCCGGGCTTCCCTCAGGCCGTCCAGGCACTGGGGACCTGGGCTTCCCTCACAGCCCCAGCTTTTGTCCAGTCTAATTAGCATATTATTCTTTTATTATTATAGAATTATTATAGATACCTGCTAATTAATACCAAACTTTTTCCAGGATAAGGGCAGTAGGGTAAGTTGAGATTGCATATGATGAACACTCATTACTGAGAAGGACTAAATATATGGTCTACTATAAAAGGCCAAATGCCTGAATATTTGGGTTAACAGCCTCCATTTTTTATTAGGACAGAACTATGACACTATAATCTCTTTGCCATTATTTCTCCTGTCATTTTACCTTTCCCAGTTGTATATATATTTATTCCCAGATAAGAAACAATTGAAATCAAAAGATCTACACTTTATTAAATTTGTTTAAGATTCATTTTTTTCTGTAATTAGGGCAGATGTCACCTCAAAGTGAATTTAATTAACTTCTGCCACATTGTCAACATGGGTACCTGTAGAATCAACTAATTACATAGATGATGACAGTTAAACCTTGTCCAATGTCTGCAATGAATACTAATTATATTGTACTGAGCATATCTTGTCTTTCTTTTTGATAGGAAAAGTGGTGGGAAGATCAACCTAAAGCGCTATGGAACATGCTGAATTGGAATCGGTGTTTGTGCTGAGCTGCCGGCTCTCTCGGCCTTCTTTTCTTGGTTCTGCTTTGATTTTTCTCTAGCAGAAAGCTTAAATTTATAGAAACACACCTTCTCTGCCTGGGTCTTGGGGAATTCAATATATAATATTTTCCTTGATTTGCTTAACAATAAAATAAATTCTGCAGAAGCCTGGCCTGTGTTTTTACTTTGAGATCAAGAAAACATATAGATACAATATTGAATAATTGACCTGACATAAATGTGGATCACCTGTTTTTCTAATCTAAATCAACCATGAAGTCATTGTGGGATCTTGGGAAAATCCCTTCCCCTCTTTTATTCTTGGAATTTTCATTGTATAATGAAGAATTTTCTTTTATAAAATCTATAATAATAAAAGCATAATATGCTAATTAGACTGGATGTCCATCTGGATGATCTTCCGGACAAAAGCCGGAACTGCAAAGGAAGCCCAGGTCCCAAGTGCCTGCTGGCAGCCGGAGGGAAGCCTGGGTCCTGGGTACCAGAGGGAAACCGGTGCTGGCAGCCCGGGAAAGGAAGGCCTACTCTTGCACGAATTTCATGCATTGGGCCTCTAGTCCTATCTAATAAAAGAGAAACATGGTAATTGATGTACGACCGCTACCCTTCCCATTGGCTAATAAGGGCGATATGCAAATTAACTGTCAGCCAAGATGGCGGCCGGCAGCCAGGCAGCTTGAAACTAACATGAGGCTTGCTTGCTTCAGTGACAGAGGAAACCAACATTCCCCGTCTGCCTTGCAGGCCTCGGAGCCTGCAGTTTGAAACATTTTAACAAATATAGAAGCTAAAAAAAAACCCAGAAACCAGCTTTCAGCGAGCTGGGATCTCAGAGCTGGAGTCAGAGCTGGAGTTATACATTGTTTTGAACCGAAACAAACCAGATACCTACTTTCAGCAGCGGAGGCCTGAGAGCTGGAGCCTCAGAGCTAAAGCTGGCTCAGAATTTAAAAAAAAAAAAAAAGATAAAAAGGAGCGGTTGGGAGCTTCCATCACCCGCCAGCCTGAAAACAGCCCTCAGCCCCTCACCCAGACTGGCCAGGCACCCCAGTGGGGACCCCCACCCTGATCCAGGACACCCTTCAGGGCAAACCAGCCAGCCCCACCCATGCACCAGGCCTCTACCCTATATAGTAAAAGGGTAATATGCCTCCCTGCACCGGGATCAGCGTGACAGGGGGCAGCGCCCAAACCCCCTGATCGCCCTGCAGCTCTGTGTGTGACAGGGGGCGGGGCCACAACCTCCCTATCTGCGCTGCTCTGTTTGTGACAGGGGAAGGCGCCCCAACCCCCTGATCAGCCCTGCTCTGTGCCTGATACGGGGGAGCTCACCAACCTCTGATCGTCCTGCGGCTCTGTATGTGACAGGGTGCAGCGCCCCAACCCCCTGATCGGCCCTGCTCTGTGTGTGACAGGCAGGGTGCGATGCCCCAACCCGCCCCCTCCTCCCACGGGCCCTGCTCTGTGTGTGACAGGGTAGAGCCATAACCTCCCCATCGGCCCTGCCCTGAGTGTGAGAGGGGCGCCCCAACCCCCTGTTAGGCCCTGCTCTGTATGTGACAGGGGGCGGCGCCCCAACTCCCCTATGGGCCCTACTCTCTGAGTGACAGGGGGGAGCTCCTCAACCCCCTGATGGGCCCTGCTCTGTGCATTACAGGGAGGAGCTCCCCAACCCCCCTGATGGGCCCTGCTCTGTGCATGACAGGGGGGAGCTCCCCAACCCCCTGATTGGCCCTGCTCTGTGCGTGACAGGGTAAGGAGCCCTAACCCCCCTGATGGGCCCTGCTCTGTGTGTGACAGGGGGCAGCGCCCCAACCCCCTGATTGGCCCTGTTCTGTGCATGATAGGGGGTGGTGCCGCAACCTCCCCATCGACCCTGCCTTGAGTGTGACAGGGGGCGGTGCCCCAACCCCCCAATCGGCCCTACCCTGAGCTTGACTGGGGGTGGCATTGCAGCCTCCGGATCCGCCCTGCTCTGTGCATGACAGGGGGCGGCACCCCAACACCCCAATTGGCCCTGTTCTGAGCACGACCAGGGGCTGCACCTAGGGATTGGGCCTGCCCTCTGCCACCCGGGAGCAGGCCTAAGCCAGCAGGGCATTATCTCCCGAGGGGTCCCAGACTGCGAGAGGGCACAGGCCAGGCTGAGGGACCCCCCCTTCCCCCCCGAGTGCACAAATTTTTGTGCACCGGGCCTCTAGTCTATTATATAAGGCTTAGGTGAGTTAATATTGGTTCTCTCCAATTTGGGGGAAAGTATTTTATGTAAAAATAAAACATTTATCCTCTTTGGACCATAGTTTTACATCTGTATGAATTGGTGAGTTTGGACTATATACTACGTGAACACATACATTATTTGTTTTCCAAGCAATATCATAGAGTCCAGCGGATAGCAAGAAGTAAATAAATATTCAATAAATAATGAACATCCAGTTCTAGCCAGTTTATCTCAGTAGATAGAGCTTTGTCCTGGGGCCAGAGGGTCCTAAATTTGATTCAGGTCAAGGGCGCATACGTCAGTTGCAGGCTCCTCCCCGGCCTGGCCCTAGTCAGGACACCTACAGTAGGCAACCAATCGATGTGTTTCACATCAATATTTCTCTCTGTCTTTCCCTCCTTGGGTGAGGATTAACAAAATAAATAAATAAATAAATACATACATACATACATACATACATAAATAAATAACGAATATCCAATCAATAATGAATACAGGGAAAGTCTGTAAAACTGTGTGCCGGGAGCCGGTCCATGCTTGCTGTTTCAAGGGACCTGGCATATATGGCATACTGTTCTTAATATGTTTGCTCACCTTCTTGGCACTATGTGTTTTAACCAAGGTCTCTGAGAAAGGGTGTTTACCCAGGTAGGGATTTTCCCCTGAAGCTAGGGAGGGAATAAAACCTCTTAACTAAGTGCCAGGAGGGTAATTAATCACTTTAACTACGAACAATCGTGCTTAAGCTACATAATCTTTACTCCCTGGAATGAAGATAAGAAACGCCCTAACCTTTGTAATAGAGATTGATAGGATTGAATCAACTGGTATAAATACAGATGCAACAAGACAGCAACACAGAACTTAGAATACAGAGCTTAGAACACAGAACTAAGAGAGACAGAACCTAGGCACAGAACCTACACAGAACGTTCTCTAGAGACAGAAGAACTTTGCTGGAGAGAACATGGCAAAAGATCCTGGACAGAAACTGGCCTCAGAACCTAGAGACAGCACCTAGCGAGAGAACATAGCAAAAGATCCTGGAGTGAACCTGACTACAGAAATTGGCAAGAGAACCTGACTAGAACCTGGTGACTGAACCTGGCTGGAGAGCCTAACAAGAGAACATGGACACAGAATCTGGCTGGAGATCCAAAGCAGAACCTCTCTGGAGATCCAGACCAGAACTTGGCTGGAGATCCTGGCTGGAGATCCTGGCTAGGCTGCTGATCAACTGCACGCTGTCTCTGTGTCCTTCCTTCTTCGCCGACTCCGTCCACACCTTTGGGGACCCCTGGACCCGCTGGGGTTGGACCCCGGCAACTGTGCACATTTAAAGAAAGTAGCCAGTTGATCTTAATCATGGAATGAGAGAACTATGTGAAATATAAGGAATCTTATGGCCCAGAGAAAGTTTAACTAGTTACTGCCAAAGAAAAACGTAGTAGATAGAAGAACCAAGGTCACAACACAGCCCTTTCAATAACCCACTCCGTCTCCTACTGGGTGGGAGGGAGCAGGACAGCATGAGGTCAAATCACACTACTCAGAACAGTGAGAAATTTAAAACTTAAGAACCCTTTATTTCTGGAATTTTCCATGTGATATTTTTGGACCACGGTAATTGACACTACAGAAAGCAAAACTGTGGATAAGAGGGACTACTGTATACTAAATTTCCTGCTTCCTAGGGAAAGTGAGCCTTTTCTCCTTTGTAGTTTCTCCCCTTGAAGGGATTTAGCTACTTCTAATGTAAACGTGTGGAGGACCACATGTAGGTAGAGAAGCAAGTCACTGCACATCTTTACTAAAAGCATCGCCGTTCCACATGACCTCCTCCTGCTCCTCTCTCCTGCTGGAACGGGCTCCTCCAGCCAGGCCAGGTCCCTGTTGACTGTCCACACGAAAGTGCATTTCCACCACTTTGCTCTAGGCTGCCTGCAATGCCTCTGTGCCACCTTCTGCCACTCTGCCTATCCTTTCTCCCTCATACAAATCTCTCATCCACATCGTAAGCCTCTGCAATTTACTTCATGGCTCATTTCAGGGGCCTTAACTGAGTAAGTGATCAAAATACTGTCTACTGTCTAGTTCTGAGCTATTCTTTGGGGATGAAAGGGAAGCATATAAACAATAAACCACAGAAGAGGCTCTCTTAGAGAGAAGAGGCAAGTCACATAAAAAATCAACAGTCAAACTCCAGAAGTTTTGGTTCAGAATGTATGCATTTTTCCAAACCTCAATGAAAACACATATAGGATTTATGTATATTATAGTTTGCAAATTTGACATCAAAAGAAAAGAATGGAAACATAGTGTAGTCTTTAACAGGATATGCATGGCAAAGCTTTTAGAGAGAAGGGTACTGATGTCTGCAATTTACTTTAAATTGTATCAAAGATGGATTAATGAATAGATGGGTAGATATATTTAAAAAAACATGCATAGTAGCCCTGGCTGGGGTCGTTCAGTGGTCAGAGCACCACAGGCTCAATTTCCAGTCAAGGGCACATACCTGGGTTGCAGGCTCATTCCCAACCCCAGCCGGGGTGCTTGCAGGAGGCAACCGATTAATGTGTCTCTCACATTGATCTTTCTTTCCTCCTCTTTCTCCCTTCCCAACCCCCATTCTTTTTCCCTCCCTTCCACTTTCTTTAAAAATCAATGGAAAAAATATCCTTGCGTGAGAATTAACAACCCACCCCCCACAAATATGTAAAATATTAATGGAATAATCTAAGTGGTGAGTTTATAGGGGTTTACTATAAAATTATTTTAGCATTGCTGGGTACTTAAGATTTTTTATTAAAAGTTTTTCAATGATTTAAAATAAAACAGAGACTCTGCCAAGAGGAGCAAATATTCATAATCCTGTTTTTGTTCCTCATTATTGAGAAATTCTTGTCTGTGTCAATGTGAAG